AAAAATATCACAAATCAACGGGATTTTTTACCAACTTGAAATTTACACTTGTTACCAGAATTAAATTGGCTACAAAACTGCATACAATTTTTTTTTAAGATTCGCATTCAAAAATTTAAAATTTGGTGAAAATTTGAAAAATTTTTTATAATTTTTGTACAAAGCTTGAAATGTAAATTTGCTGAAAACCAGCTAGACTTTTATAAAAAAAAATTTATAAATAAAAGACAAATAGCCAAAGCTGGTCAAAATATTGCACTCCTATTATTTTGTGGACAACTGTAAGTAAGCACTAAAATTAATATAAAAAAACTAAAATACTTGGTGCACTTGATAATAAAACAAAAAATTAAAACTCCCCCGGAAAAAAATTTCTGCGTTCGCCGCTGTATGTTTTACACGGAGTATGGAAAGGTAAGAGCCCACTTCTTCGACTGAAGAATCGGAATGCTAAAGATGGCAATTTTAACACGCTCAGAGCAAGGAAATCGCGAAAGACCTAAGTGTTGGTAACTTGACACGTCTGACTGTACAGAAGAAAGTAAGCGATGATTTTATAGCCATGGAGGTGGAGCATAGCAAAGTAGCTTCGAGCGAATTCCTCATCACATTGGTTGAGGAAGTTGCGCTGGCCTGAAGAGACATAACCTCGACGCACATCCTATTACATGTCGCACAACGTTGATCTCCACCCAACGCACTAGGGAAGCTGTCGGAGGAGAAAAGGCGCAGAAAGCAGGACGCCATCTTAGAAGTAGCGCGTGACAGAAGTTTTATAGTAGCACTGAGTCCCCGGCGAGACTAGAAAACTAAGGAAGGTCCTGTTTTAGGGTTCTACAAACTACATAGATACTTATTAAAAAATATGACGGCGAATGGTGAGGGAATCCCTTGAATTACTGCTAAATGCGCACCTAACATCAGATTATGATGTAGCAGATCCAGTAAATACTGGATCGTAGATGAAATAGGTATTGTGAAAAAGCTTGTTACGCCCTCAAAACTGTATTGGGTGTTGAACTATTTCTCTCAATATAAGTCACCAGGTCTAGATGATATTTCTCTCGCTGTACCGCAAAGAGCAACCATGGGCTGGCTGAGCAAATTATTTGAGGCTTAGTTATGTACCAATGTCATGGAGGACGGCACCGGTAGAATTCTTGCCAAAGGCAAGCAGAAACTGCACCGCGCATCCGAAGTATTAGAAACTCATTAGTCTTACTTCGTTTTTCCTAAAGCCTCTTGAAAAGCTGAAGCATGCGCAAGCGAAGCTAAATGAAAATGAAAGGGAAGATTTGTGGAACTGTCCTACACAATTTCGGTTTGACGGATATAAGTATCCCTTGAAAACGGCGGCGTATTTACCATGTCTTGGTCCAACTAGAATCTTCTGAATTACTGTCTGCTATGTGAATCAGAAAAGCTAACGAATGGCATCGTCATCATTATATATATGTATATTCTACATAGGAAAAATGTTCCTAACAAAATAGAGTAAACCCAAGAATGATAGAATAAAAGATTGCGCTGATCATAGATGATTTTTGAGAATAACATTTGTGTGACGTCACACTGGTGCAATTGCGAGAGAAATGCCAAAACGTGAGCAAGAATGGAAGAAGAAGAAAAAATGTTGCAAGGAAAACGTAAACAAGTTGCACAAGTGTGTCGTCATGCAAACAACGATTCTGTCAAATTCGTTAAGAGAGGAATAGCGGTCCGAGATCGGCGCAACCTTTGTATTTTCTCAATCGTGGAGTAAACCTAATAAGCCGGGCCGAAAAGTTTAAGCTTTTGCTTGGAATCGATTATTTTGCTTATCCAGGGTTTTCAAGCTTAATTTGAACGATCATGCCTATTTTGCTTATTTTAATGTACAAAGCTAAGTACGGACATTTTAAGTAAACGATCAAGAAATAAATTGCTATTATTTGGAGTGTGTGAATAGTAGTGTCCAAGAAGTTTTGACATCTACAGTATTTTACAGCCTGCTTTCTCACTTTTTCCTTACGAAATATTGGAACGGGCATATATTTCTGTTGAAAACAAGGGTTGCCTTGTACTCTTCATAAAAAAAAGGTTTAGCAAACCACAGTAGAAAGTGCAGCAAAATTCTTAAGAACTTCGTACAGCTTAAGAAAATTAGGCTCAATAAATTTTTCTTGACCACTTTTTTATTCGTAGAACTAAAGAAATTTTTACAAATAATACTGCAGATTTGTTGATTCGCAGATATTTGATTTTTGGATTTTTATTAACCCTTAACTTCAATTGCATTTCTACTTGGATACAAAAATTTAAAACCAGTGGTTCGTCTCTACGGGAAGGCATTGGTGTTATTGAAGATATTAAAAATAATTTATCTCAAATGGAGAATAACGCATATTAAAAAACAAGAACTTAAAACGACCAGCGCAGATTTATTATTATTTGAGAATATCAAGCAACACTTGTATTTTTATTGCAATTTTTCAATTCTTGAAATAAACTGAATAAAAAAAACAGTAAATGTACTTACATTTTGTTGTTTTGCGAGCATATTTGCAAGCATATTTACCAATGTTTAGTGCTTATCTGAGCGATTAGAATGAATTTTTTCTTGCTTATTTTCTTCGGCCCCGGACATCTCTGAGGGTTTTCTTGTTTGGTTATTTTCTTAGATGGGAACTTTCCCGAGGTTATCTTTCAACTCGCAGTAAGTTTAGGTGCTCCTGAACAAAAGTAGAAAGTAACTTTCATATGGGCGATACTTCAAGCTCAGGTACCATTAAATGTTGTTACTACGGTAATAAAGTACTGTGCAGAAGTTAACTAATGTTCGATAAAGGCCATCATAGGAAAAACTTTGCTCTTACTTTTGAAAAACTGTGTATTTGGAGAAATATTCCTAGAATGTAAATTATACTCTTTTAATATTTTATGTTCATCTTGTTCACAACTTTGTCATGAGGCATGAAGTCAGTAAATATTTCACTTATTGCTCGAATTTATTTCTTCTTTTGAATATGAATTTATCAAAAGACTCCAAACATCCCTAGTATGAGCGCTGATGCATTTAATTGGATATGTATATGAACCCACATACAAATTTATATTAAAGTGCTTATTTACATACATATGTAAATATGTGGAACACTATTTAGTTGCGCATTATGGCAGCCTGTCTGCATAGTTCTCTACTCGAGTTCATTCGACTCGTAAAATCAGCAACTTTTGTTTATCAACAAAACGCACGCATAGGCAAGTAAACAAACAAATTAATAATGCGCACTCAAATGTACATAGGTATTTATGTGCATTTGTATATATTTACTTACGTACTTATGTATAACCACAGCAAAAATCAGCAACAAGTACAGTAGACTCGGTCAAATAAATTAAAAATGGCTTAATAAGTGAATATACATATCTGCAATAGTGTCATAATTCAAAATAATTTTTTTATTAGTTAAGTATGCAGAAATGACCACCACTCTCCTTCTAGCTTGTGTAAAATATTCAAAGCTAGTATATCGATTGATAGTAGCTTATTAAAAGAAAATGTGTCTTCATTTTTACTATGGGAGCGTATGTAAACTGTAAACTTTAGAGCCGTTTGTCTTGAGTATTCACTTTTTCGGATTATTACACTCTGGCAGCAAAGGTACGGTATGTACATATATGAATATCTGCATAGTCATATATATGTATGTATGTATATTTAAATACATATATATACATATCGTCGATGTTTTTGCAAAACCGCCCATTTTACGGCACTCAAATTTTACAGGAGAGCGAAAAAACGGATTATTGTTTGAAGGCATTTGAAGGCCTTGATAGGCGGTATTTTCTCTAGCTATTATTTTAAAAATCTGTTGTTTTAATAACGATTTAACGATTGTTATGTATAAGTCTCGATGCCTGGAGTTCAGGGTTACCAAATCTCATTTTTGCCACAACGATGATTTAGGCGGTTTTGCAACTAGTCGATGGGTGGTTTTGCAAAAACATCGACGATATGTATGTATGTATGTATGTACCACATACACATTTCCTGCTTCATTGCAATTTGTTCACTACATCACTTAATTTGCTGATTTGTTGAGTCGTGGCAACTCACATTTCTGCCAATTACGCTGAACGAAGTCGAAATCTGCACTTGCTAACGGAATTTTCAGTGCATTTTTGAAATTAATATTGAGACCAAGGAGCACAAATACCGATGCTTAGTGTTTACATGTATATATATACAGAGTTGGGCAGAAATGAGTACTCGGTGATTTTTGTTAAATATTTGCAAGGTTTCTAAAATTAAAATTTTTCGTTATTTTTCATGTTTATACAGAGCTTAAAAAAATTTAACAAATTTTCATTAAAATTTCACCTTTTTAATCTGGTTTTCTAGAATTTTTTTTAGAATGCCATTTTGGTAACCCATTAAATTTTAGTACAATAAAGTGCAAGTCTAAAGCGGCTGCGAAGTCGCGAGGATTTTTATTTTTATTTGAATGATTATTTAAAATTTGTCTACGATTAAGAGGAGATAAAAAACAACGTTGAAAATTCCATAGGGTGCATCCATGCAGCTTTGTATTTTTTCTTCCTGGCACACTTTTAAATATTGCACCGTACAAACCAATTTTGCACCCTTGAAAAAATTTAGCATTTTAGGAAGGTAGGCAAAGTACCCATATAAGTTCCCTCTTTCTAGATCGAGTCCTTTGTGGTTTCTAAGACAACCCTACGCTGAATCGGTCAAAAGAATATCATCTTGTGATTTTTCTAAATTCATTAGAATTCGTATCTAAAAGTTTTAGGCGTCGCGGCGCTGATTACGAATCTGAAATAAATTCGTAGAATTCAAAACGGTGGATACAATAAAATCCATTCACCATATCGAATTTCATAAAAATCTGAAAATTTTTTAAGAAAACTTCCGCCATATTGTATCTGCGTTTTGAATTTTTGAGAACTGACGCCAGACTCGTAATAAGCAGCAACCAAAACCTTTGGATATAAAGCTTAATAAAGTTTGCCAAATGACAAGGCAATATGTATTATATTGACCGATTCAGCATAGGGGTTGTTTTTCCCCATATCAACCATAAACGACTTGATCTAGAAAAATTAAAAAAAACGGGTACTTTGTTTTTGTCACTACTTTCCTAAAATGCTTGATTTTTTTCATGACTGGAAAAAAGTTAAATTTTTTCGGACGGTGTTGTCAGTAGATGAGAAATCAGGAGTTTCACAAAACACCCCGCCAGAGAAGTGCAATGTTGATGCTTATCATGAGTTCAGGTGTTTCTTTAAGAATCTTTTCAAGAACTTATCTTTCAGAAACATTTCTGAGAGAACAAAAGTTTCAGGAACGTTCTGGCAAAGAACAAAAAAGGAACAAAAGTCTAAGGAACTTTCTCTCGAAGAAGAATTTGGGAACTAAAATCTCAGGAACCTTCTGAACTATTCGCGAAGAATGGAAGCGGTAATAAAACTTGTTTTCATGGCCTTGCAAAAGTTTGAAATGTTTGAATATTAAGTGTATTCAAAAAAAACGTAAAACTTACTATGCAAATTAAGTTGGTGAAAGACTTAAGACACGAACATTTCTTGCACAGAAAATTTCGTTCTTAATCTGTTTTTCTTAAGAACGTTCGTGAGAATTTTGTTCTAATTTTGTTTTTGTTTTTTTGATAATGTTCCTGAGAGTTTTTGTTTGCATTTTGTTCTTTACGGAAACGTTGCCGAACCTTTTGTTCTCATTTTGTTCCCCTTCAAACTGCTCTCAATACTTTTGTTCTCGTTTGGTTCTTTTGCGGGAACGTTCTTAATATTGAATTTCGTTCTCGTGCAGAACTTAACCAAAACCGGAGAGCGCTATATGTCCCTGGTTTTATTCATTTTTAAGCCTTTTTAATTTCTAAAGCGATTTCGTTTTGATATGTATACATATGTATGTTTGAGGAAATTAGGCAGTGTGGAAGTAATCGCTTAGAAGCTTTGGAAAGCTGTATAAGTTCGAACATACAAATGTAGATGCATAGTTAATATATATATGGAAGGTCTTGTACTGCATACTTATGTATGTATGTATGTACTATATAGCATATCTACATATGTATATCTTCTATTTGGGTATTTTTAAAGTCAGCGTTGTCTGGCTGTCAAAAAATTATCATGCCCATACAATTTGTATGAAGCATACCAAAATAACGCGGCGCCAACGCTGAGCGGTTCGAAAATCCAATTTTGACAGAGCGTTAGGAAGTGAAGTTGGCTGCAGAAAACGGCGAAACTGTAATTTTCGTGTTTCACGCAAACAAACCTATGCTTATTATTGCTATTATTTCTGCATTTGACGTAGCATTGTCACTTTTGTTTAGGTATGGCAATTCGACGTTAATGCTTGGCGTCAGAAAACGCTCCGCCCAACGCTTTTGTTTAGGTATGGCAATTAAATTTCAGTAAAAATTTTAAATCAAAACCTTGACACTAATATTAGATATGTATGTAGGTATGAAATGCAACTGAAGTTCTGGTATGAAGTAGCATGACTCATTTCGAAGTTTAAGTGTTCCAGAAGCGCAAATGCTGCATACATATAACATTTTCAGCAAATATGAAGCTATTCTAAAGCTGGTCACGTATGTAATTCAATTCACGAACTGACGGACGTAACCATATCTTTGGTATCAAATAATTTGAAAAGGCAGACGATGTAGAGCAGTGATGGATAAGATGAGGTATACAATTTTACTTTTTGTCAGCTTATTCAATCAAAGCAAAAAATGAACTTTTACCTGCTTGTGGTGAAATATCTGTTGATTCCCTAGACACTTAACGTTAACTAAGTCATTGATAGGGAATCAATATGTATGCTCCATATGGGCGATTCTTCTGTAAATTAAATTTTGAGTTACATTGCCAATGAACATTTCAGGCATGGAACTCTAAGACCATATTAGCTGCTAAACAAATTCTTGCACGGAAACGCTGACTTATTTCGGTTACTAAGGTACTTTATTGACCGAATTTGGCTGCTTTTTTGTGATTTTTAAGAAAACAATTTTTAAGTACATTTATGTCAGTTCTAAGTAGTTTGAGAATAGGCCGTGTGCAAAATTTGAGCCAAATCGTAGGCCAATGCACTGAAAATCACCACTTTTTACTATGGATATAAATATATGATTGCTTCCTGTTATAAGAATTCGGCATGTATGTATATTAGGTTGGTTCACCAAAATTTATTATATTTTAAAACTTCGGCCAAAATATTTTAGAAAAGTATGTATTAATATTAGACCGATTCGAAATAGCCCAAATAATCATCATTTGTATTCCGTTGATAAACTTTTTAAATATTTTGATGCAGACCTTTTAAGCTTGAACTCTTCTATCATGTGAGGTGAATTTTTAGAAACTTAATTTATTTATTAAAAACTCGATTTTTTAGGTATTTTCAAAGGGTCTAGCTAACATAAATCATAATATGTTTCCCAAATAGTTTGACGGTAATCTTAAAATATAATAAGTTTTAAAATTCCGATGGAAACAAAGCACCGATTTTTTTAAATGATGTTCCCTAATGTACATTAGATTGCATCACTCCCCATACAAAAAAAAAATCGGTACTATTTTTCCATTGGAATTATAAAATCTATTATATTTTAAGACGTTCACGAAAATATTTTGGAAAAATATTAAGATTTACTGAGCTGGGCCGATTTGAAAATACCTCCAAAAATGGAGTATTTTATGAATAAAAATAGATTCTTAAAGATTTAGTTTTGAAAAAATCACCTCAAATGACAAAACGGTTTAAGCTTAAAAATTTGCATAAATATATTTAAAAAAAATTAAACAAAATTTTGAACAGAATCGCCATAATGAGATTTTTGATGCTGCTTTTTTAACTTTTTTCCAGGGTTCGTATTTGCACACACATGCTCTGCTCGCACACACGCCAGAAACACATTCAACTTGTACTCACTGCTCATACACATGTGTGTGCATAAGTGGAAAACAAACTCTGCTCACAGAAAAGTGTGTGCTGTTTGTTATTAAGCACATGCACATGTGTGTGAGCCGATTTTGTACAAATTTCAGCCCATGCACATGCACATAATATATTTTTAAAAGAATTTGTTTATTAAACGTTATTTTTTGAAAGACAATTCAATAACAAGTGAGGTGTTGTTTGTTTTTTATATGACAGAAAACATATTAAAAAATTATTTTAAGATTTGAGATAGAAATCGAAGTGTATAAGTTTCTCTACGCAAAGCACACACATGTGCGTGTGCTTTATATTAATAAAAATAAAGTACACACATGTGCCCGTGCTTTTTACCAAACAGCACACACATGTAATGTGAGCAAGTTTTTAAATTTTTATATGCACAGCACACGTGTGTGAGCGTAAAATGTTAGGATGTGCTGCGCATGTGTGTGCAAATACGAACCCTGCTTTTTTCAAAGATTTTTTTTGTAGGGATTTTAATGTAATTTTTGTATAATGTTTTAAATATTGACTTTTAAGCTTCACTTTCATAAAAAATAATTAATAATAAATAATCGAGAGGGAAATATCCGAAGAATGCTAAAATGTATTTGGTTACAATAAATGAAAGATGTAAGACCTTAAAGTTTTCACCCGCTTTTATTTGTATATACATACATACATGTGTATGTGTGTACTTCTAATAAAAATGATCGTGTTACAGCGACAGCAACAACAAATTTTGATACTATCGCTATAATATTGCTTTTTAGTCAGGTAGTCAGTAAAGCAAAAATTGTTGTGGGTACTCAAGCGCAACAAATTTCCGTTCATACGGGGCTTCACACATGTACATATATAAGTAGTTTGAAGCTTCCTAATTTGCCACAGCACGAAGACGAGTTCGAATCGACGTCGTTATGACGTCGCTCTGTCGAAGTCGTTTGGATGAACTCGAAACTATACAAAATGCAACGTCGTTCCGAATTCGTTTCTTCGAACCCACAAGTCTCTTGAGGAACCTTCGGCCTAAGTTGGAAAAGTTCTACGCCCAGATTTTTATATATTAAGCATAAAAAAGTAATTCATTTGGATAGTAAACCGTTTTTATTAAGACAATTTTTTATTATGACAGAATATGGAATCCACAATGTACACTTGTGCTCAGAAAATTAAGCCGCCTACATCTTGTTTTCAGTATTCATAATATTTTTCATATAAACTTTACTTTTATTTTATATGGGATGCCAAATGTTCTGTATTTCTTTTAATGTTCCGTATTAGTCCCATATTCGGTGTTTCGACGCCTTAACAGCTTATTAAAATGACATGCCTATGAACTAGTTTTAAGTGATGTTGGTATATGATCTTAATTTTCTCCATAAACAGTTTGGCTAGTTTTCCTTAATTTATTTAATGTTTATTATTTTTTATGAAAGTAAAGCTCTTTTCCTAAGAAAAACCATATAATACTGGTTAGGCGCGACCGCTAATACCAGGTTCGTAAATCCATGTTGTTGGTTTTCCTTTTGTAACAGCATACAAATTCTCCAAAAAGTTTTTGGCTAGGGTTGCTGGAGGGACAGTCCTTGGCCAGATATAAATCTGGGTCGTTCCAGTTACGTAGACCCGACTGAGGTGGGAACGCGCCTAAATTCATGCTATGTACTGCTGCATGTGCAAAAATTTCCTTCAATAAATTAATGAAATTTTTGCACATGCACTTACAACCCCGCAGAGACGGTAAATGAACTTTACCACTGGCCATAGTGCCTACCTACTTTTTACTACTACTTAAATAAACGAAGCTCGGCCTAGTCTGATGCATCCTCCGGACGATGCTTCCGGAGCCATTTGCGGACTCTGCATGACTTGCAATCTTGCAGAGGTGGTAAAAGAACTTTACCATTGGCCACAGTGCCTACCCACCATTTTTGCACCAATAATTTTTTTTTTATATAAATACAAACATACCGGTCTCCCCTCTCACTGAGTTATTTAAATACAAAATTTCTAACTTTGTGCAAAAAACTACAAAAATCTCTGCAATGTTTCACCAAAATTTCAAACTCTTTAATTTAAAACAAATTTGGTTTGCAGTTTTATACCTCACTAAAATTGGGTATAATTGCTTCTCTTTTAAGAAAATGGTCGAACGTACTTACCTTGTATGAAAAAAAATGCGCAATATCGTCAACGAAAAAAATTGTCAAAAATTAACGGTAAGTCTTAGCGACTTCAAAATTGCACTTTAGTATACTAAAATTTAACGATTTTTGTTTTACAAATTTTGCGGGGTAAAAATCTCGAGACAATTTTCCTGCAAATTTGTGATGTTACTAAAAGAATGCTGTTTCAGTGCTAATTCATCTAGGATCATTGAAGAAGCTGTAAAAGCTGGGTTATGCAAGACTTAGACTTGACTTGACTTACCTAGAAACTTAGAAACGATTACTCAGCGTGTCACCTATTACATTTTCTCCTTCTTTTGATTCTCAGGTATTGTATTTGTACACGTAAAATTGTAAACTTTTAATTTGTTTGTTTTGAAAATAGATAAAAAATTACAATTAAAATAAATGTATTTACGAGTTCAAATTGTATTTTTTTATTTTATTTTCCCTCTTTATTTGAAAGTTTATTTTTCGATTGCCAGACGAATTACATTTATACAAAAAATCATATTTGTGTGGCATATTTTCAGGAATTTTATTAAAAAATTAAATGGCAGCATGATTCTCTCACGGCTCTCTTTGCACTTAGAAATCCAAAATCTATAGTTCTCCAAGTTTCTAAGTCAAGTTGTTTTTTTGGGTAACACGCGCTGCTCATTTGCCAGATATACCCCTAATATTCAAGTCAAGTCAAATCTAAGTCTTGCATAACTGAGCTTTAAGTTTTTGTGGAAAAATTTTGCAAAATTATTTTTTGTCACGTATTCGGTTCCCATAATATGGTCACCGTAACTATAAGTAATTACTTCGGCAGTTGACCACAGCAATAATGAAACATTACAAGACCGATCTAATCCAAAGTGTCATTAACTCCAATGCAACCAATTCCCGTGGATATATGGATGGAACCGTTGTGGTAAAATGACTCTATCGATCCGAATGGGATTGGTTGAATGGCTTGGGGCAACGTATTCCACATATAGGGGATACAAGCTTCACTGTTTTTGCGATGTTGCTATAACCAGGACTTGAACCCAGGCCCTGCGGAGTAGTAGCGCGCACTGCTAACCACTACACTACAGCGGCCGCCACATTAATACATATGTATATGTATAAGTATTTACATAAATATGATAGCTGATTTAAGAAGTGCAGTAATCTGCCAAAGATCAGTTTATTGAACGCCATTAAAGACGTCTGAGAGGGCCCTTGTGAATTGTCATTAATTACCAAACGAGTTGTATATAAGCACAATAAGAAAGACAATTGGAAAACGAGCTGAAAAGTCTTTTAATAAAGATGGATAGATTAATCGGTCGATTATGGATAACAAGCAACTTCAGTGGGAATGCCATTGAAATTAAAATGCATATTATGAATAGCAACTACTTATGTATGTGTAGTTTAGTGCTATAGGTAAAGTAGAACGTAATATAATTTTAAAATAAACAGGCAAGGTTTGAATGTAAATAATCTGCAGAAATGGTTGAAAAACAAATCGATTTTCTTAATCAAAATTTTCGCGGCAATCACAAAAGTGCGGTCGTCAGTTTAGCAACGCAGTTGCCAGTTGCCATCTGTAATACTGTTTCAGCCACTAGCAATGCAACTGAAGTTCGGTTGCTATCCGTAATCGACCCATTAATTTAACCACTAAAATTTAATTTCAGAGTTATCTTGAAGGAATGAATGATTATACATGCATATGTATGTATGTACCAACTACGTAAATATGTTTGTATAAAGTATGTATGTACATATGCACCTATGTATAATGCATATTCATGTTATTGTATTGCATATTTTTAGAACTGTTGTATCAAGTTATATTTGTATATGCATATGTATGAATACATAGTACATACATATGAAGCATTAAAAGTCAACTATTTGGTAAAGTAATCTGACTGCATTCTTTCAAATCCACCTTTGACTTAAACTACATACATATGTATATGAGCATACTCAAACATACGAACGTATATACATATTTATGTATATAAGTACATGAAATGAGCGCATATTAACCATAGATCGATCAAATGGAAAACCACCTTCAATGATCACATGCAGTTATACAGATCAACAAGCAAATACCTGGCATTCTTCGTTACGTTTTAAAAGCATGTTTTCACGGTTTCTACAGTTATTTTTAACGCTCAAATATCGAATATATATCGTGGGCAAGCGCTGTTGCCTTCTCAGTGCTCTCTACGCACAAATCGAAAAGAAAACGCCATTAGTGAAAAAAGTCTGATAAATTTACTTGTCTTTTACCAATTTAGTGCACGCATTTTTTTAGGACATTTAGCTATGTAGGTATCTTGTCAATCTGACCAATTATTTTCCCTTGATGTGTGGTGTTACGCAATTTATCTCGAAATACCTACTATTTCTTTCTATATTTCTTTAGTGTCAGGCTTTATATGGATGTACAAATGTATATGTTTCAATTGCACGATTGACAAATTCGAAGGTCGCTTCCATAAAAAGTTACCAATTAATTAATTTAAAAATTTTTCAACAAGTTTTAGAACATCTACTAATGATTGATGACAAACAGCTTTTAACACATTTTCCAGTATTGCGGTTTTAATCAAAATGTATCCAAATTAATAAATTTTTGCCTTAAATTTTAAGAGGTACTTCCTTATAAAGTATTAAGCATATACTGAATATCCTAAGCGTAATTTCGACTAAATAGTTCAGTTATATTATTTTATTACACTCTAGACCAGAGATGCTCACTCCATAAGCACTTGTAGCGCATTTGTTTTTGTTTTGCCCTGAAGTATAGGCACATATACACACGAATTTACACTTTAAGGGCCCGTGTGAATCGGTAACAAAGTTCTATGGGGAAAGCAGTGTAATAATATTTTTACTATGGTGAGACAGTTTTGCCAAATGTGCAGTGTGAAATGAAATATTTTTTGAAAGCAGTAAATTTTTGATAACCGCAGATTTATGCGGAGTAAAATATTACAAATTGAAGTGAAATCAATATTTTAAGAAAACATCTACAATGGTTGATTGCAATTCATCAATTTAAGCTTTTATTTAACGAAAAATTACACACATCAACAATCTTTGCGATTGGCAAAATGTTCTATTAATTTGTCAAAAAATTCACTAACATCATGAGCTACTGAAATTTTATTCACCTCATAGTTGTGAAAAATTTACTTTTTTACCGATTCACACACGCTCTAAATAATAAATAAACTAGGGCTGTGCGATTAATTGATTACTCAAAATTTTAATTAATCATAAAGTAAATAACTCAGCTATTCGATTAATTAGAAGTTATGATTACTCAAAAGTTCAGTTACTCGAGTAATCAAGATTTTTGATTAACCAAAAACAAAAATATTTGAGTAATTTGCTTTATGATTAATCAACATTTCGAGTAAAATGAGTAATCAACATTTCAACTCTTTACATATGTATAAAGGAGTTAAAGTTCCTTGACACTTTGAAAACAACGTTTCTGTTTTCAAAAATTAAAACGAAAATTTTTTTTCATATACAGAATGTAAAAAAGAAAATAAGCATTTTCCAAAGCAAACTCTTTTAACGAGCAAAATTATTTTTTTTGAGTAATCATATTTCAAGTAACTCGATTAATCATCGTTTTGAGTAATTAAAATCTTGATTACTCGAGTAATTGATTAACCGAACAATTGATTAACCAACTTGCTCGAGTAATCGAATAATCGCACAGCCCTAAAATAAACAAAATTCATATGAAAGTGCCTGAGTTTCATAAGGAAGCGCAAAGCAAACGCCCTCCCATATGAAGCTCAGGCACTCCAGTAAGGCCCACTTGTAGAACAGCAGGTTATCTATATAACTCGAAGTTTACCGGTTAAATTGATAAATTGGCTTGCACAATCAATGGTTGGGTGTAAAATTAAAGTTAAGTCGTTAAATATTTAGCCCAGCAATTTTCGAAGGTTAACTTGCTAATTCTACATATGTCAATTCTGTCAGTAACAAGACTAATAAAATTGAGATTTCAAAAATTTTTAAAATATTTTTAAACACATGTTTACATACACACATACACAGATAGCACGTATTCATTTTTCCGCCTTCAAATCGAGGTTTCGGTCAGTCTCGCATAAAAATTTAAATTTAAATGCACCGAAAGTGTGCAGTGAAGAAGTATCGCTGGCCAATTTGCAGAGAAATGAGCTGAAGATCTTCATGACCGCAGTGTTCTTTTCAACTACCATGGCGTGGATTTGATACATAAATGAGTACATACTCATGTCAAGTAATAGAAATCCCTCTTAAAGTTGGTGTGCTTTGACAGGAATGTGTAATGATCCAACCATAACGAGATATAATTTTATTTAACATTTGCCATTCTTTAGGTTTTCTGGTTGTAATAGAAATTTTATATTTAATTTCAAATGATAAATATAAACAATTAAAACAAATGTCAAAAAAGAGAGAGTGGTGCCTACTTAATTTAGAAATCCCTCGGGTAACTTAACTTTGAGTCAGTTTTCAATGCTGCAAGACATTGTCGGGTTTAGTAATGTTAAAATTTAACTCTTAGTTACTGAACTCTGTATTTATATATTTAACTCTGGATGTTGTGCAAGTGAGCCTAACCCAGTAGCGAAAACAGTCGACGGTGACATCGTCACTAATGAGGATTTAGTGACATCGTCGCACTTGCTGTGAATCCCAAACGACATATAGCTGACAATGACACTGGTGACAACGTCATGCAGGTGTACTCCTATCAAAGACTTATAACAGACAATCTCTTGCAGCGGTCACTTATAAAAAGTCCATTGCAAGATACTGTTGCTTGAATGTCATTAATGATCACTGCATGACCATATCATGCAGATGATATCAACGACGAAATTACCATTTATATGAAAAATTCATGAACGACTTCCATACAAACGGAGCCCAAAGTCATTTAAGACGTAACTTTTCCGTGCAAGGCTCTTGAGTGACTAATGCATGACATTCGCTGCGGGGAAGTTACACAAATTTACACAAACAAATATAGATTGAAAAAATGAGTCAGCACTGAAAAAATGTATATTAAAATTGATTTAAATTCGTTTACACTGAAGTGAACACGAAATTTATTAAAAGAGAAACATCTGGCGTTCACTAAAATGTGGAAGCACGAGATCTTTTTTTCGAAAATTTTGAGTTGAGAGATTTTGTAACTTGCCACCTAAACATTTTGGAAAATTTCAAAGGGGATATAGAAAATGATTCGATTTCTAATCTGAATTGAATGTAGATCCCTGCGAGCATCACACCGCGTAAAGTTGATAGGATTGCAGACATTCTTCCAACCAGGCTTGTTGCGAACACTCGCATTCGCAACCGCGGAGCTTCCGCATTAATTTTAACAATCGCATGTGCTTTCACATTCGCAATAATCAATGCGGAGCTTTGAGTTTGTCGAAGTTTTCAAAGCCTTTTCCAGTTTACGGATGAACATACATCATTCCAATAAATTAATGTTTGGCGCTTGAATGTTTTCTACGTGTTTGGCCGATCTTCCCCTCCAATTCGTGCTCTAATCTTGACACAAATGGAGGGATCTATACTTTTACTCCACCTGCGAAAAAGATGTTTTGTGGCAGTAGTTACCTTGGGGGTTTGCCATTGTCTTCCGAAGGGAAATCGCTCTTTTAACCACTTAACTTAATCAGCTGACCACCGGAGTGCATGTTTTTCCTACAGATTCGGGTTCCAAGGATAAAAATACGTAACTTTGCACTTTTCAACCTCTAAATGACCTTCGAACCATGATAAAAAAAATAGGAAGGTAGAACCGCTGAGAGGAATTTTTCAAATTCTTGACGTTTGCAAGCAATTTAATTTTAAAATTCTACAAACAATTCTCATTTCCAATCTCAAACAACAACAACTTTGAACAATTCCTTTTTTTTACTCTCAATTTTATACGATTTTAAAATGTTGGCAAACTTCAAAAAAAAATCATGGCCGACGCATTGAGAGAACGGTTTTACCTTACTATGCTTTTATCATGCTTCGAACTTCAACTCGTCCTGGACTTCTAAAAAGGAAGAAAATGTTTTTAATAAAAAAGAAAAAAAAAAATATGAATCACTAAGTCAGGGATGCTCTATCTTTTGGTACTATTACCGACTTCCAGTTTGGCCGGAATGTTGGTTAAACTGACCGGAATTCCATTTTTTTCAATTTGTGTTCTACACATCACCGATTTGGATTATGCGGATAAAATATATAACTTTTGTCGGAAACTTTTTTCTGTAACCGACTTTCCGACCTCTGGTCTTCTGTTTAATCCACTTTTGGTCGAAACCAGAAGTCGGTAAAATGCCCAAGAGATAAGTCTTCCCTGACTTGGTAATTCATATTTTTTTGTCTTTTTTTAAAAAAAAAAAAAAACATTGTCATCCATTTTAGAAACCCAGGAGGTCATTCAGAGGTTGAAAAAGGAACTTACAAGAAAAAAGTTTCAAAAAAAGTTACGTATTTGTATCCTTATACAAATTGGGCTTTTACTTGTAGTAAAACCATGTATGTATGTCTGATTTAAAAAAAAATGGTTTTCAGATCAGTTTAGCCCATTTCCGGTCAAAACCGGATTATTCTTGATATACTAGGAATCTAAAAATCTGTTTTCAGATTTTATATGTTAAACCCGGATATAATAAGCTTTCGTTTGGTGTAACTTTTTCATTCTGAAAGCGAGCGGGCCTGTTGTGTACGAACTCTGAATGCCACATTTTACATAAAACCTACATTCAAGTGGCTAAGAATTGCCGTTGATTTTTTAGAATTTTTACGGATTCTTCCATATAAAAATAAATAAAGTTTATTGGTTATATGGAAGCAAATGCGATAAAAAGAATTCTAAAAAATCAACGGTAACTTTTAGCGTCTTGTGATTTGCACATTATTAGACTAAATTAAATGGTCTATAAAACAGTGTACTGAATAAAATTCTAACACTTCTGAGAAAAAAGTTTGAAATTTAGGTGAAAGTTTGTTGCACTTTTTTGCAGTCTTTTAAAAACGTTCAAACTTAGGTTTATATGAGTTTTGTTCGAGAATGAACTGTGTTTTAATTGAAAACTCTTATAATTAAATAATTAAGCGTAAGTGGCAAGCAATATCACTTTGAAATGGGGGTGCTATAGATATGGCCAATACTGTATGTGTATGTAGGTGTGTACGTAAACCTAGTCATACTAGGTTGCTTCCAATATGTACTCATAGCACGGCTAATTTCCACTCAAAAGTAGTTAAAAAAAGTTTTTTTTATTCCTGTTAGGACTTATTTTCACAACCTACAGAGTTTTAGCCTTCCATTATATATAGTGGAAAATGGATGCGATTACTTTCCGACGCTGATTTTTAACTAACTTTTCATACAGAGATTAAATGTACTTTAAATTTCTCATGAAAAAATCAGTACCTAAAAAGGTATTATTTTCGGAACCACATGCTGCATGATCCGACTGGGAATATCTATATACATACATATACATATGTACATATGTAAACGCATGAATCGTTAGATGTCTCGTAGAATTAGTGAATGAGTGACTGCTACAGTCCTATACAGCAAACTAAAAGCTTTTAAACAATGGAAACCAGTTTAGTTATTAAACAAATTAATTTATCATTTTTGCAACCGC